ACGAGCACAGGCGCAAAGCCCGGCGGTGGGGCTGCGGTCTGCCACAGAAGCTCCAGCAGCTGCACAGGGAACTGGTCTCTGAACAGCTCTGGCTGCTGCTCTTTAACATTCATTACAGGAGCAATGAGGGTGGGCTGTAAACCACCTCTTTAATACCCCTGTCGGTCTCCTACCAGCTCCTGGTGTGAGAGCTGGGAGTGAGGAGTGGGGTGTGGCAACTGCTGGCCCAGAGAGGGTTTGCACCTCCGGCTGTGCCTGTTCCCCTTCTCCTTGCTGCCACAAACTGATGGCACAGTAGAGTGATATGTCACCTCTTCTTCCCTGTTTCTTGATGAGGAGTCTTTGAGCCCAAGATGCACATGGGAGGCTGGTGAACAGGACGTGCCCCTGCTGCTCGGTGTGTCTCTAGGGGGACATTTAGGAGACTTATGGGGCTGTGGGGTGTTCAAGAGACATGTGACTGTCCTGAAGAGCAGTTTTGGGGTGAGGCAGGTGCCCTGGGCATCCCTTTCACAGCCTCTTGCAGTCAGCAGGGCTCAGTGTCAAGGCCAGGGCTGTTGGGTTGTTCCACAGGAGTCTGAAGGAGGTGCTGAGTCCATGGGGCTGGAGATGAACAGGCAGTCTACAGCCATCAGAGCAAGACATGAGAGGGTTTTCAAGCCCCATCTCCCTTTTACACCTCCAGCCTAGAAGGATGGCCTTGGTGCAGGGAGGGACATAGGGAGCAGCAGGGAGCTGGAATATCCTTGCTTCATGCATCCCACACCTTCCTTTTATCCCCAGCAGCATCTTCCCTTATATCTCATGCAGCTTAATGGATTGTAAATCCCTAAAGCTGGGGCTTACCACCAGGAGGAAAACAATGCCATACCACATCCCTGTCCCTAGCCAGGACTTTGTCACCTTCCCTGCATCATCACTGCTGCCCAGCCTTGGCAGAGAAGGAAACGGCTCAACTTGCAAGTGATAGATTTTGCCTGAGATGTTGTCAGCAACTCAACCATGAGCTAGATGTCCTCAGAGACCACCTGAAGGTGACAGCCAGAGCAGTGGAGGGGTCTCCAGGTGTATCAAGGTCCCAGCTCAGCAGTCCAGCATCTCTGTTCTTCCACCTTCTGATTTCCTTCTGTGTCCCTCAGCTCAGTGCCAGCCCTGGGGCTTTTTGTTCATTTTGATTATAGCCATCACAGGGCTCCGCAACAGTTGCAGCAGTGCTGGTACCACAGGAATCTCTTCAAAGGTGCTGCTGTCATCTTCCCCTTGGGCTAATGGATGGGCTCAGGAAGGATTCCCAGGCTGTCTGCCTTCCCTCTGCAGCATCTGTTCTCCCAATAAATCCAGTTTCACTGGGAGATTATCATAGATGTTCAGCTGGAAAATGTGCAGAGGTGAGAGCCTGGTAAAGATGGGGATGGGAGAGAAGTTGTGGGGTTTTCCACTCTCCACTACAGGACACAAGGACCATGTGGAGCAGGGCTGGGGGCTGGTCCAGAGGCATCTGTGCGGAGCACAGCAGGAGGTGGAAGGGTGGTCAGCACCCTGTGAGTGAAACCCAAGATGGGGGAGATACAAGCTTTCAGTTGTTGCACCCTTCTGGCACTGAGTTGCTGCAACACCCCATGCCTCAGTTTCCCTCTTTCCTCTGGCAAGTGACAGCATTCCCCTCCCTCTTGAAAGCTGAATTTCTCTTAAGCCTCAGCATGAGCTTGAGCTTGACATCAGTCAAGGTTTTTGTCTCTGGGGGCATGGCTGAATGAACTCCCCAAAGCCTGGGGGGTGATTTTCACCTCCTAGCCCTCACAGAACCTGCGTGATGCTGGTTCTTGACTCTTCCTTCCTCCATCTTCAGCAGGAGCAATGAAAGCATCCCCACTTCTGTTCTGCTTTCGTTCCCTTCTGGTTCCTACTTCTCCTCCTGGGCACCCCCTTCTGCCTCAGGTAATTGCAGTGGGCAGGAAGACACTGTTTATTCTAGGGAATGGTTTTGAGAACCCTCAGGAGTGCTGGAGCCGTGAGCAGCTCGCTGGGATGTGCTGCATGAGAACCAGCTCCTCCCCAGCAAGCCCTCACCAGGCTGGAGGGGAGCATCAAGAAGAAACCAGAGATTCCCAAACACCCACTGCATGACAGATACAAATCCTTCCTGAGCTTAATTCCAGGACACTCCTGGCACCAGCACTGTGAATAAAAAAGGAAAGGCTAGAAAGACCCAGTGCTACTCTGGCTCCTCACCTCATTGGGCTTGGCTGCTCTCTTGCAGCAAAATCTGGGATCTGTGGCCTGTGACATAGACGTGGGGCAAGCCCAGGTATCAGCTGGAGCCCAGCCAGGGACAAATGCTGCTTTTGGGATTGTTCTGAAGAGCTGCTTCATTTCTAAAAATGAAAGGCACGCTGGAGTAGCCGGTGCAGGGTAGGGTGATGTTGGGATGGTGTCAGGTACCCGGCTCTATCTCTAGGGTTTCCCAAAGCCCAGGCTGCCCTCAGCAGCTGCAAATATGGGGGAAATGAGGACAGGCAGGCTCCCGGACACAGGGTTGAGGCTTTGCTTAGGACAAGTGAAGTGAGCTGTGGGCATCATTTCAGGTGCTGGCATCCTGCGGTTGTGGCAGCCTGCCTGGGTAGCCACTCTGGGAGTGCTGCTGCCACTCTTGCAAACATCCCTACCTGCTTTACAACCCCCTCAACTCCTGCCTGGACTTCCCCAGGCAGGGCTGGCAGAGGATCTGCTGCCGGGTGAATGCTGGCAGAGGTGGGCAAGGGGGAGAGAGCAGCATGCCCCAACCTGCTTAAACAATGAGATCACCTTAAAGAGTCACACAAACCCATACACTGCCCTGGGCAGCTCTTGATGAATGCAAGTGAGCACAGAGGCTGGAGAACTGTGGACCAGAGCAGGCACTGATCCCGGGGGCTGCGCTTGTGTGCAGTGTACTCCCCAAAAATATTCCTTCAGAAAAATTCCCATGTTGTTTTGCACAAGCCCAGGGGTCAGATCTGTGCCCCACTCAAATCTGAGTGCTGTAGGCTTCCCAGGGGGGCAACTGAAGGAAACGCTGTTGGCCAGGGTTTCTGCTGCAGCATCCCCAAGGCATCAGCAGTGTGTGCTGAAGCACAGGGCAAAGCAGGGAGGTCGCACGTGTCCACACAGAGCTCTGGCTAGTGATTGATGTGTCTTGGCAATGGGGACACAGCACAGGGATGAGCAGTAACCAGAGCTATGCTGCACCTGTGCTGGGCCTCCTGCTTTTTCTCTGATTTAATGTCCCAGTTGAGAGGTGATGTCATTTCAGAGGGAGCCAGAGAAAAGGAAGTGCTGGAAAAGATAAGGAACTTTAACTCTACCCATCCCGGTTTGACTGGGTTTTGAAGCCAGAAGCTGTGTAAGCTGCAAGCCAGGAAAACATAAGAGAAGGGAGGAGAGAGGTTTGTTGAAGGACACCTTCCTCTTGGGCCAGTGGGAGCTGACACCTGAGTGTGCTGAGATCTAGGGTGATGGAGGACCTTGGATGTTCCCAGGTGGTGTGAGCATGATTTTATGCACTGCTCTGGCTTCTCCATTACATTCATCTCACAAACACGTCGAGTGGGTTTTCTGCAACACCAGTTTAACCTCACCAGAGCCTGGGTGCCACACCAGTAGACAGAAGGGTGCTCCAGGAAGATCAGCAGAAATGCTGCCAAAGTGCTGGAGAAGGTAAATGGAGAATATACCAAGGCTGCCCTGCTTCTGAAGGGGAGAGAGACTGTCTCATTAAAAGGTCTTGTCTAGCAGTGGAGATGGGACAAGGCTTCCCATGGTACTGAGTCCAGAGACTTGGACTTTCAAAAGGATCTTGTGGAGGCATCCTGGTCCTTCTGACAGTCAAAGGCAGTCAAGCCCCCAAGTCCTCTCTGCCCTTTGGGTGATGTCAAGCTGCATCTGCTCATTCACATGACTGGGAAAACCTCAAGGGGGGCTTGAGGCAGATATGACTCAACCCCTCTCTGTTGCATGAAGCTGCCACCCAGATGTCCTCAGCTGAAAGGGAGTGAGGTTAGGCCACCACTAGCCAGACCTGGCTCTACTCTGGAGTATGGGATCAGTGAGTGAGAGCAAATCAGGATCACCACTGGTCTTAGGCAACCAAGCAGGACATGCGACAGCACTGGGGGTTTTCCAGCTCCTCAAGCTGCCCACCATGCAAGTTTGCTGCCCTGCTTAAGTCAGTACTCTTTCCTCTTGAGCTGGCAACTGGCTTTCAGGCTTTTGACCGTGCCAGACACTATAAAAACAGCTCTGGTTGCCACATGCCACCTACTGCAACCTCAGCTGGGGGGTTTCTCTCAGCACTGGGCTTCAAGATTCTCAAGCTGGGTGTGACTGCCCAGCAGCTTGGTGCAGTAAACTGGGTGGTGCTTGCTGCCATGTTAAGTAAGATAAGAGCATGAAAAACAGCAATGGCCTGCAGATACCGTGATACCTGTGTGGTCCAACATGGTAGAAATCCTGGACTCAGCAGGGCTGGGCAGAGGGGGCATCTCCCAGAAACCACAATGTGTAAGTGTAGCTAATGGAGCAAGGTTTGGGCTGACCTCCCCAATGCAGGGAGCTTTGCACCTTGGTGGGCTTGCTTGTTGTCACCCTGCCCTGATGGATTTTGCTATCAAAAAGCAACCCTGGCTGTCCTCAGAATACTAGGCAGACAAGGAAAGGACTTTCTCGCCCCGTTATATGTCTGAATGAAGTTGTGAAGAGCCAACTGCATTGAAGAGGGTGTGGGTTGCTATGTGCAGGAAAAATCAGAGCTGGATCTCCATTCCTTTCTCCATGTGTATTTCACAGTCATCACAATGTATCTGTGCTGGTTAGCAGTGGCTGGTGGCTTTTTGCTCCTCAAGGCTCTGTTCTCAGTGCAGCAGGGTTATCACCACTGTGTCTCCAGCCCGGGTCTCGGGGTGCCAGGTACTGATGATCTCGGCCTTGCTGTAACGAGCTCATTGTCCCCATTTTCTCCACAGGAGGTTTTGCCACTTTCTCGTCCTGCTTCCCGGGGCTGTGTGAAGGGAAGCCAGCTGCCATTCTGCCGATGAGCATCTCCCAGCCATGCTTGCCTGTGGCCAATGTCGGCCCCACACGTATCCTGCCACATCTCTACCTGGGCTCCCAGAAAGACGTCCTAAACAAGGTACAGCTCTGTCAAAGGGACACATCTGCCCTGTCCCATCTGGGACCTTAGCCATGCAGAGGGGTGAAGCTATTAAAGACCTCCTCTCCTGCCCAGTGGGAAGCCCCTGTGTGGTCAACTGGAGCCTATTGGGAGGCTGAAGGAAGGGAGTGCACAGGAGGGAGTGCACAAGCAGAGCGTGGCAGAACTGAGGAGGGTGTTTGCAGGAAGAATTGTCTTACACTCATGAGCTCTGGGGTGATCAAACTCTTCCCAAGTGCCTGTAGCAAACTCAGAGGCAGGAGGAGCATGTCCAGGAAAAAACCTGGGCTTGGAGGGAGAGTTACCACAGCTGGAGGGAGATGTGGGATAGGAGCCAGCTTTGCACTCACCCACCTCACCAGCTAGACTACCAGGTAACACCAGTTTCAGCAATCTTGTGATCCCCTTGGGAGCCAGAGGGAGTAGGAGCAAGATGGGGTATTCAGCCAAAACAGCGTGGGGATGGGCAGCTCTGGCCACAGACAGGGGCTTGTTCAGGAGGCCAAAAATGAGCAAAGTTTTGCTGTGATGAGAGAGGAGAAAAGAGGAACAGTGCCCTTTTAAAGGTACCGGAAGGGCTGTGTTATGGTGTCATGCCAGGGAAGGAATTTTGTTTAAAGGAAAAATAATGATGAGAAGAAAGAAAGAGGAATTGCAATTAAATTGCTTCCAGGCATCTGCCTACCATGGGCATGAGGGAGCCAGTCAGGCGTCCTCACCCAGGGCAGGCAAGTAAGGAGAGGGACCACAACACCAGAGGGGTTTTGGAGACAGAAAGGAGGGAAAGAGAAATTATATACAGGGAGTAGAAGAAAATGAAAGAGAAAAATGCCAAGAATGTAAGCCTGGGAGCTGGGCTGGCTCCGTGGAGCCTGCTGGGGCGGGCAGGAGCCAGCCACTGGAGAGCCAGGGCCAAAATCCTGGTGCCTAAATCCTGAGGAGCCAATGCTGAGCAGGGAAATTGATGGTTTCCTTTCCTCCTGACCTCCTTGGAGGGTTTTGTTTATCTTTGGGAACTGTGTTTTCTGCCATCCCCACAATGTGGCCATTTGCTGGAGAAGATGGAAGCATTGCCCATGCGTGGTCTCTGACCTCAGTCTGTTGCCTGTGGATAGAGCATCTTCTGGCCACTTTGGTTAACGTAGGGTGCTACCAATGATTAACTCCACTCTGCTGGTGAGATGTCTCCTCTCTCCCTCAGCTGATACTGTCACAGCCTTCAGATACAGATTTTGCCGATTTCCATTCTTGTATTTTCCTATTCCTCTCATACTGGGGTTCGTGGGTTTTCCCCTCTGAAACCCCCTTCCAGGTGTCTTAGGCTCTGCTTACTTGGACCAAAATAAATATCTGCTGAGGTTCAAACCTGTGTCATCTAAATTGACACAACCTTCTCAGCTGGTCTCTGCTGTATTATCATCAGCTAGGCCAAGGCAGCAGTAGGAGACTCACAGGAGAAAATATTGGGATGGGAAAAGGCAGGGAGTGTGCATGGCAAGACAGATCTTCAGCACTTGATGCTGGCTGAACTCAGCTGATCATTTGATGGCTTCTTTCCCACCAGGATTTGATGACGCAGAACGGGATAAGCTATGTCCTGAACGCCAGCAACTCCTGTCCCAAGCCAGACTTCATCTGTGATAGTCACTTCATGCGCATTCCTGTCAATGACAACTACTGTGAGAAGCTGCTTCCCTGGCTGGACAAGTCCATTGAATTCATTGGTGAGCTTTTCTTGCAATGGTTGCATGGCCTCTGGTTCTCAGCCTTCACGGCCTGAACTCTTAGCCTGTCCTCCATGGTCTTGCTCCCAGCAACCGTTGTCCTTTCACACAAAGGGGCTGAGAGCTGGGGAGGGAGGATAGAGTCATTTTGCTCACCATCTCTGTTCTCTGTTTCCTCTGCCATGCTCCAGACAAAGCCAAGGTATCCAGCTGCCAGGTGATTGTGCACTGCTTGGCTGGGATCTCCCGGTCAGCCACCATCGCCATCGCCTACATCATGAAGACCATGGGTATGTCGTCAGACGATGCTTACAGGTGAGTTTTCCCCTGAGGGCAGGGGTGGTTATGCCAGTATGCTTCACTCCAGGGAAGGAAAGCAGGCTGAGCCCAGAAAGAGAGGGTCAGGGCTCCTTGAACCTTCTTCTTACCTTGGGTGGGTCCCAGTAAAACCAAACCAAACCAAACCAGACCTCCTCTCATAAAGTGCATGTAACAGGGAATGGTGGGGAGCGGTAAAAGGGAGTGGGGAGGCAGTCCCAGCTCTAATCCTGGGGCATCCCAAGTCCCCATGGTTCCCCAAGACCTCTTTCTTTCGAGGGTCTGGTCAGAAGGTTCTGGACAATGTCTTTTCTGCCCAAAGAGGCTGAGAGAGTAGGGGTGACCTACTGAATGACCAAACACCAACTGGGGCTGTCTGTGTTTCTTGGCAGGTTCGTTAAGGACCGTCGCCCGTCCATCTCGCCCAACTTCAACTTCCTGGGCCAGCTCCTGGAGTATGAAAGGAGCCTGAAGCTCCTCAAGGCCCTGAAGACAAAGGGTGACCGGGGCGAGGGGGATGCCCAGCAGGACCCAGCAGAGGTGGCTGAGGGCAGCCGGCATCCCCTAACACCTACCTCAGAGAAGGCCGAGGATGTGCCGAGAAGCACCGGCTCGGTGTCCCCCCACAGTGACCCCGAGCGGCAGGGCGGGACCCCAAAGGTCCTGTCGCCCACCACCCTGCAGCAGGGTCTCAACGGCTTGCACCTCTCCTCCGAGCGCATCCAGGACACCAACCGCCTGAAACGCTCCTTCTCCCTGGACATCAAGTCTGCCTACTCCCCCAACCTGCGGCAGGACCCCCCTGGACCCCCTGGACCTGGGGAAGCCCCCAAACTCTGCAAGCTGGACAGCCCCTCGGGCCCTGGCGGTCTCAGCCCCTTCTCCCCAGGGGCGGAGAGCCCCGACCGGCCATCGGGGCCCGAGCTCCTGCTGGAGGCCAAGGTGAGGCAGCGGCGGAAGCACCGGCACCCGGCGGGCTCGCCAGCCCACGGGCTCAGCCTCAACATTGGCGGGACCTGCGCCACACGCAAGAGCCCCGGCGATGAGGACGGGCTGCCACCACGGCTCGGCCAGCCACCCACCGCGCCCGGCACCGCCACTGCTGCCTGGAGTGGGGTGCACCTGGAGTCCCCCAGCACTCCCTCCGGCGAGGCTGGCTGGTACTTTGGCAAGGACTCCGGTGGTGCCGGCGGGAGTGGCGGGAGCCTGTTTCCCAGCACTGGCCCGTACCCGCCGTTCGGCTGCGGCGGGGTGGCGGGCGGCTGCGAGATCAGACTGAGGGACAAGGCGCGGGCCGAGCCGCGGGACGGGCGGCACAGCTGGCATGAGGAGGCCGGCGCCGAGAAGCAATTCAAGCGGAGGAGCTGCCAGATGGAATTCGAGGAGACCATGTCCGAGGGCAGGGCTCGGGAAGAGCTGGGCAAAATCAGTAAACAGTCCAGCTTTTCAGGCAGCATGGAGATCATCGAGGTGTCCTGACATTCACCTGGGGCGCCTGGAGAGCTGGGATGGGGACAGGGCGGGGGGATATTTAAGCTGGGGGGGAGAAGGGAGGGTGGGGGTGGGATGGGGGGTGTATTTATACTTGCGCGTGCATTTTCGGGAGCGCAAGCGCTGAAACCGAAGCAAAGGTGGATGAGTCTTTCCAAAGTCGGGAAACATAATGGCGGATGCTTAGTGTCCCTCCTGCACTTGCCCCGGTCCTTCCCTCCCATCCCCAGAGGGTCCCAACCCTCAGAGACCCGTACTCAAAGTTTGGGCGTAAAACTCAAGTGGGAAGAGGCAGGGGTTGCAATTTTGGCTGTGGGGACGGGGCACAGCATCTGGAGGGGGGTCCACAACTGCCCCTTCCCTGCGCCCTGGTGCACTAAGCATGCTCCCCTGTGTTTCTCTGGCTAAGTGTCCTAAAAATGCTGCACTGAAGCAGCCCTATACATATATAAATATATATTATATATAATATAAAGAAAAAAAACCCCGAAAACACACACACAAAAGAAAAGGTAAATGGTTTTACTGCGATTTTTATTGAGACGTAAATAATATTTCAATTTTTTTGTTTTGTTTTTAATTTATTGAAGCTGTTCATTCTGGCAATGATTTGCAGACAATGTGGGGCGGTACTTTCAGCTCTATTTTTACTGTGTATGGTATTTAAATCTGAAATACGAGTTTCTAAGCAATATCTGAGGCCTGTGGCTCCTTCTATAGTTCATGTCCACAACATAGATTTCCCCCCTTCCCTCTGGGCACACCAACAAGGGGACAGGAGACTCTTCTGGACACTTTTTCTAGAAATGAACAAGTAAACAAGCAAACCATAAAACCTTCTTAAAACACAAACTGAGCCAGAAAACTCTTCTGGAAGCTGCTGCCTCTTCTTCACACCTTGGTCTCTGTTTGCTTTTCCTCATCTCCGTCTATTACCGCCATCCCGGGCATCATCCCATCCCATGCATTGTCCCCATCCTGGTCATCACTCCATCCCAGCCATGCCCCCTCCCCTCCCTTCCCTTGGGCTACCCATCCTCACTGGAGTGGGCAAGAAGGGAGTCACCTGAAATGGATGAAAGGCTGCAAGGTGTCATTTCCAGCTGCTGGGGAAGGCACTGGAAGCTGCCACAGCAGAGGCAGGGAGGCTGGTGGTAGTTGGGATTTCTTGTTGGGAGGGATGTTGCCTGCCTGCCCCAGCCCCTCAGCTCCCCCTCGCCTCAGCCACCTTGCTTGGGAGGGATGGGCACCACTTTCCCTTTGGAAGCACTGGTTTTTCAGGCTTCCTGCATCCTTTGTTTCACATCTGAGAAACTCAAGGGGAATGTGTTTGCAGGTGCTGGTGCTCCCCCAGGCCTGTTCCCCTGCAGGCTGGCTCCCCTCTTTCCAGCGGATGATAAGCTGTCCAGACACGAAGCTCTGCAAGCACATGGGGGGGCACAACTGACTTATTTTCAGAGGTGGTTAGCTGCTTCCTCCCATCTGGTGGGAAGCCAGGCTCCTGCCCCCAAACCCCAATGTCAGGATTGTTGAGAAGCTGCTTTCTGAAGCTGGAGGCACTGAACTGCCTCCACTGCAAAGCACATCTTTCCCTGTGGCTGTCTTTGCTTTCTCCCTTGTCTCGCACTAGTTCGCAAAGCTAATACCTCAGGGGTCTGTGTTTGTGCATGTTTGTGTCCTGTGTCATCCTTGGAGTGTTGGGTTTGTTTTTTTTTCTGGGTCCACATGGTTTCTCTCCCTTTCCCTTGTTCCTCCTCGTGTCATTCATTTCTATCTTTAAATCAAACTACCCGTGACAAAACCAAATGATCTCAGGTTTAAAACTGAACACAAAGCAGAGGCGTGAGAAGCTGCAATCATGGAAGGAGGGGCTGCTCACTTCAGCTCGTTGCTTCCTCAAGCACCTCTGTGTTCGCAGTTGAGGCAGTCTCCCTGGAGACTCCTCACTCTCTTCGGGCCGGCTTTAGTTTTTCTGGTTTTCCATGGAGCTATTTGGTGAGATGCAGGGGAACCCCATGTGCTCCTGCCTGCTTCCCCGAGGCGTGGCGGGGAGGGATGGGGGTGGCTGGAGAGCCAGGGACCACCTGCCTCTCTCCCCACGTCACTTTTGATGAGGGTGAGAGATCTCAGTCAGTCCTCAGAAACCTGCCACCACCCATCTCTGCCTCCAACAACCACCTCGAACCTGCTCAGTGTTGCCAACCTGAACATTGCTCCCTTCTGATCGTGAAAGGGTGATGACACTATTTTCTAGGCTCCCTTTTTAGATTCTGAAAGGCATTTGGGTCCATCCCATGAGTCAGACAGCTATTTCAGGAGCTCCACTTGCAGCAGGGTCTCCTAAGTAGGCATTGATGTCAAGGCCAAGGAGGGAGGGGTAAAAGGCTTCATTCTCCTTCTGGTAGCCCAGCCACCAGGCATAGTGTTAGTGTCACCTGCCTCCTGGTCCCTCTTCCCCTTCTGCTGCCCTCAGTGGCAGCATCTCTTCCCAACCGTGCCACTGGTCCTTGTCTGCTGATCTCTGCTCCATAGGGCTCAGTTCCTGCCCATTCCATAGTACTCCAGGGTTGGTGCCAGCACGGACTAATTGAGCTCAGGTCCGGCAAGTTGCTGGCAGGAGCTGGCTAGCTGTAGTTTTGAACAATGCAGAGGGGGCTAAATGTCTTCCCAAGGGATTTAATAGAAAGAGGACGGCGGGTCAGCACAGCCAGATGGGGACATGTGATTCATCCTGTTAGCTGACACTGTGTTACAAGCTCAAAAAAGCAGATGGAGCAACGCAGGAAGGAGAGGGTGCATGTTGTAAATGAGACCCTGAATGTCTGCAAGGAGGCAGATATGTGGTTTGCTTTTTGTCATCTCAACTCTGCCATCACCTGGATGCTCCTCAGACATGCTTGAGGTGTTAAGCACTATGGACTCCTCTGAAACCAGAACAAAGATAAGTATATTTTAAGATTAGTAGGTCATAAATGCCAATAGACATTAATGATCCACCTCTGCAGCCTTATTTTGATGTACTTTGCATTCATCCCCCTCCTTTACATTGGGCATGTGCACTAGAAGCCCTCACATATAGAATATTTTAAGTCTATATCCAGAAAATAAGCCTTGATGGAGCAGCCCTGCCTGCATGTCTCCTACCAATGCTGACCCAAAGCCATCAGGGTTACCAAGTGGCTGGCAATTAACTTAAATTATTTTTTTAGATCAAACTCTGTCTTAGACCACTTTGTCCATGAATCAGAGAGCTGTGAGTTGTCATGAGGATGTATGTGCTGGCTGGTAATCCTCCTCATCATCTGTCAGCCAAATCTTTTTATAGGCTCTCAAAACCAGATGACCCAACCCAAAGCCTCACTTGAAGCAAAAATCCCCTTTCAGTGGTGGTCTGATGAGAGTGCATTCGTTTGTAGGGATCTACAGTGGCAGAAGTGTGAGCAGAAGAGAGGAAAGGTCGCTGCTTTCAAGGGAGGAATCAAAGCTCTTGAATGTCCAACAGCAAAGGCAATGAGTGGCTGAGCTTTCCACCGCACGAAGGATTGAGCAAAGCACAGCTCTCCTTCAGACTAGAAAGGACATAGCGCCTTTTCCTCCAGCCTCTGCTTGTCCTGAGTATCCCAGACACCTTCCTGTCTGCCTTTTGCAGGGGCTGAGAGAAGCTGGCAGGAGGGCAGTGATCAGGTTGGCAACACTGAGCCAGAGGCTTGGGTCAGAGCAGGCTCGTCCCTGGCCTCAGCAGCAGCATCCCCAGCCCTGCTGCTTTCCCAGCCCTTCTATTTGTCTGCTTGTTTGGACATCCGTCCCCTTTACATCTGCCCCTTAGGAGACAATGCCCCCCCAGAATCCCCTCTTGCTGTCCCCTTTACCCTCCCATCCTTAATACTAATGATAATAAGCTATCAGTGTTGTCATTGCAATCTATGAATGATAGATTTGAGTATTTATGATTATTATTATGATTATTATGGTTATGATTCTGTACCTTTTTGCTTCTTACTCTTTGTATGTTGCTCTTTGTTTCTCTGTTGTGAATAAAAGCAAGGCCCCATCACACCTTCTCTCTGCTCCCCACAGCCCAGCTGTGGCTGCACTCGGCACAGCTCCTGGCTGCCCCAGGCCTCAAGAGGCAAACCCTTGTCAGAGGAGCTGGAGGAAGGTGCTTCCTAAGAATATTAAGGCACCCAAACCTGGAGCAGATCTATTCTCTCAACTCTTCCCTTCCCTTCCTGCAGCTCCTCTCCCCCATACAGGTGCCTGCTCATTGTTGCAAGAGGCAGGAACCCACTGGCATAAACAACAGAACATTAAACAGCAAAAGCTTGAAGCTTTTGTAACAGTCTTAAGGAGCATTGGCCAGGCATCCAGATCATGGAATCAGCTCCCTCCGGGCTGTGGGTCGTCTCACCTTCTTCAGCTGGCTGCACCTACAGGCTGCATTTCACCCACAGGGGCTTCTTGCTCTGGCATCACAGGTGACTTGCAAAGCTGCCCTGCTCACCGAGCCCAGGCACGGCCACGCTGCTTTAGCCAGGTGTCCTGGGCTTGGCTTGAATGTCCTCCTCATGCCAGTCAACTCCCTGCCCAGGGACAGTACAGCCTGGGGAGGACATGTGGCCAGTGCTAGAGCAAGCTCAGTGGCAGAGCAGCAGGTAGACACGTGAATGGCCTCCGGTACCTGGAGGGATTTAGGAAAGGGATGGCTCCCAACATGGGACTTGATATGGCTTTTATCTAACACTGGTAAATTGAGGTGTCATAAGCAGACAGAGTCTGGTGCCAGTTTTTTGCACCCATTGCCTGTGTTCTTTGTGTAACCTGGAGGTTTCCAGATGACTGTAAGGTGGAGGAGGTGACATTATGGGAAGGGAAGAGGAACCCCGTCTGCACTGTGGTACTAAACACTCTCCGTACTGCGCCAGCCCCATGAAGAATCATTTTAATTTGTGGGGTTTAACTCTGCCCTTCTCCAAGTGGCCCAGGCACAGTTTCTTGTCTCTGTCATGACTTTGCTTTGTTGTGGGTTGGGGTCCTTCTCATCATGCTGTGCTGAACACATTTCCAAGGTTGCTCTGAGACCACAATGGAGAGGAGAGAGCTCAGGTCTCACCCCTCTCTTGGGGGACCCTGGTAGACCCCTATTGGGGTCCTGGTCCAGCATCACCCTTCCTACCTCACCTGCCTTTGGGGCAGCCGTGGACAGGCAGGGAGCAGGCAGGTTCCGACCATGCCGGGACTGAGCCTCCTCTCCCACCCTCATCCCTGCAGGATTAGACCCTTCTTCAGCAAGCACAACACAGAGAGGGGTCTGCACACACCCTGGTGTACCAGGGTGTACTTGGGGAATCCCAAGCAGGGAAGAGAGGGTCTGGCCACCAGCCCCACCACGCTCCCTTCCTCGCTGTCCGTTCGGCCAGCACTGGCGTCGGACCCGGGGAGACACCCTGCCCCTGCCTTGTCTTTATTTATTTATTACCAGAGGCTGTAAACAGCAGTGCTTTTCTACCCTCTACTTTCTTTTCCTTTCTTTTGTATTTTGGAACAACGTGTTGTAATAAATACCCGAATAGGTGTTTTAACAGCTGGTGTCAGCCTTGGTTTTTGAGGGTCAGACTTTCTCAGGGTGGGGCTGGACGATCCTCTTTGGGGGTCTGGGGAGGGAGGTGGACCTTTGGCTGCACTGATGAGGGCCAGAGCTGGTGGAGAGCTGGACACAGAGGCAGGCCTGGACACAGCCAGACCTGGAGGTGCAGGCAGACCCATGTCTATGTATAGGGTCCAGCAGCTGAAAGCTGCAGCTGGACTAATTCAAAGCAGAAATAAGACTCATGGTTGAGAGAGTAGGGGCATAAAAATTAATTGGGGCATTCCTGGGCTCTCGGACTGCAAACAGCCACTCTAGGGACTTCTAAGGGTCCAGTGTGGCTCCGAAGCTTTAGGCAGGTATCTGAGCATCCCCTTTCTAGTGGAAAGTGCTGGCCAGCTCCTGCTTCAGATGGGTATACCTGCAGTGTAGGGAATGGTACAGAATCAGGGAATGCTGAGCTAAAGAGCACAAAGGCATGGAGTGTTTTCATTTAAGTTATTATTACTACTATTACCATTATTGTTATTATTTTTCTTCCCAGCTATGTTCTGCTCCCACCTTCCTCCTGACACGATGGCAGCGTGTAGCTGCACGTTTGCTGCGCACTACAGCTAAACCCTATAAACATTCCCCGACCCCCCCATGGCCACGTGAGCCATACTGGCCAACCAGCAGCCCCATTTTGGCTGTCCTCAAGCAGAAGCTGGTGGAGGTACTTCCCCGCTCCCCCTGCAGCAGGTTTTCTTTGGAGGGAGGAGAAGGTGTGAGCAGGCTCCCTGCAGCTCCGGCTCCAAAAAGCCTCAGCACTTATTGACTTACACACAGAAGGGCCATCCATCCCCACAGCTGCTTTCCACAGGCTGGGCTGAATCCCCATGTCTTTTATAAATCCACTCCCCTCATCCAGCTGCAGTTGCTGAGTCTTTTGTAAAGCCTCTTGAAACTACTGCCATCAGCTGCTGCTGGAGTAGAAATGACACTGCCCAGTGTGAAGCTTCAGCCTCCTGTGCAACTGACACCATTGTCAGCTTCAGAGAAGCTGTTTGCAAGTCCTCCTCTCTCAACCACTTGTTGCCATGCATGACATGGGAAGGGACAATTATTTATTACAGAAACATGAGCACTGCTCCCATTTCCCTCCCCATTTACATGCTCCTAGCTTAGTTTTTCCAGACCTGCTGCCCCAGGGAAGATGCTGCATCTGAGTCCCCAGAGCTGACATCTTGTGCAGCTACTTCCACAGGCACAACTCAATCCCCTCGTGTTCTAGAGAGGAATTCCCTCTGGTCCAGGGGACTGGCAGTAGCACCCACGTGGGAGGGAACCCAGTTGAAGCTGCAGGGTGCCTGCTTTTAGCTGGGGCTGGAGCTACAAGTATGCAGAGGCTCTGTCCCCTGGCAGAGTCACCCCTGGGTGTGCAGCCAGCACGGCTTCCTCCCCCTGCCCTGGTGCCGAGGCTGCCTCTCCTCTTGCTCCTTGTGGTTTGCACAGCAGAAACCATTACTGCAACAAGAAACCCAGGATCGTCCTTATTCCAGCTCTCTGGCTTTTATTGACTCAGAATGGCTGCCAAGCCTATAAATAAATGTTCCTTGAGCTAAATATAGCAGCCACTGAAATAGGTTGCTGGCTATTTATTTAGCTTGTGGCCTCTTTGAAAGTTTGCCAGTCCATATTGCCTTTACCTTCGTGCTGTCCCACCCCAGGCTATGGCCACCCACCACGGGAGCATGGCTGAGTCAGCACGGGGTGAAGGGGTCACAAAAATCAGCCCCATCTCCTCAGGACCGGAGAGCCAGGGTGACAGGGTTCGGCAGCTGGATGAGCTTCGGCACCCTGCACCCTGCCCAGAGAGCTGGGGGTCCCCAGGAGGGACATTTGCTGGAGCAGTCAGGCAGGGACTGAGCCAGTCACAAGTCAGTTTCCTCTCCTGAGAAGACGTGAGATCTTTTTCCAGCACCAGAGCCTGGAAAAGAGAATCTATCATCTCCCCCAGGCTTTGAGGCATTAGGTGGTGTGCATTGCTTTTCCACACTTTGCAGGAGCATAAATATGCCTGGTGCACAGAGTTACTGCGTGTTAGGACCCTGAAGGCACTCAGGGGTGTGAATTTACCCCCACCCATGCACCCTACTTGAGGCAGGACACTCAAACCTGTACCCTGAGCCATGCTGGGGCTGTGACCTTGTCTCTGGCCCCAGCTGCTGGGTGGTCCTCAGGCAATGCTGCACGCGTGGCCCTTCCCAGCTTGACCCCACTTCGTTGCGTGTCTGGGAGATGCCATTTGCCACACTTGGGAGATGAGCCCTTACTAAAGACACCACACTCAGGGACTCTCCATGGGATGCATGTTCCTCCAGAGCCCTGTTGGTTGTGCATCGATGCAAGAAGGGGTGGGCTTCACCTCTCCAGCACTGATGGAAAGCAAGGTGAGGACTGCTTGTGCTGCAGACACTCCTCTACTCTCTGAGCCTAACAGAAATAAGAGTCTACTTACCTTGGGCTGTGATGAATTCACTGCAGCTTCATGCCAGTGAAGGGAAAAACCCCGTCACTCCCTGGAAAGCCACATTCACTCCTGGAGCAATCCAAGACCATTAATAATGTTTAGCACTTACAGAGAGTTTTGCTAAATATGAGCTAATCCTTACAACACCCATGGGAGGGAGAAAAGTAATTATTGTTATTGGGCTTCACTTTTCCTTTTCCATGTACCCTTGCAAATGGGAATCAGCTCTAGTAAGTCCAGAGAGCTCTGGAAATCGGAGGATAATCCCTCTTGTCCCAGTTTGTACAAATAGGAAACCTGGAGCAAAGATGGCAGGTTATTTGCCAAAGGCCACCCAGGAAGGCAGAGTTGGAGTTGAACAAGTGTGTATGAGAGAAATCCTGGCCCCCAAACCTTCTCCTACACCACCAGACCATAATTCCTCAACTGGCAGGGTAATTTTGGTCCTCTGGCAGGGTAATTTTGGTCCTCTTGCAGGTCCTCACCTGCAGAATGCCCAGAGACATGTGGATGCTTTGTATTGCACCTCACCTTCCCCTGCACAGTGTCACTTCACAAGGTGGTGAGATCATAGAATCACAGAATATGCTGAGTTGAAAGGGACCCACCAGGATCATCGGGTCCAACTTCTGGCCCTATGCAGGACACTCTAAGAATCACACCATGTGCCTGAGAGTGTTGTCCAAACACTCTCTGTGGCATAAGGCTCTGACAAGGCTCATGAGCATATTGGTTTGGTGTATTGATGTAGTAAGTCACAAAATTCCCACACATGACCCCTGCTTCTGGAAATCTAGATCCTAGACCTGCAGCCATGTGTGGTAGATCTCACCATCCTTCAGCCACTTGGAGAGCAGCCCCCACAGCTGTGGCCAGAGCACCACTGGAAGCATGACAGAAAGGAGATAATGGGATGGTATCTGGGCTTGTCTCAGCCAAGTGGCATTGGAGAAAGGCTGGTTTAGAGAGCTGAAATGCTGCTGGGGTCCCTCCTGGGGTGCAGAGGGTCTGGGTTAGAATGTCCTGGATGAGAACAGAGGCCAAAATGTGGGTGAACTGCCAGCCCGGGTCCTTTGCAGGAAGAAAGGGCAGTTTTAGGCGGTTCCATAAAACCTTCCGTGCTCCCTGGCCACACTCCTCAGCTGAAACCCAGGCACTCTGTGTCTGAGTGGAAATACTGTCTGTCAGCGGTACCCAGATGATGTCATTTAGTTTTCCAGGCTTCTGGGCTGAGCCAGCAGCCTGAGCCAGTATGACTGGAGATGCTTTATTTAGAAGGAGCCCAAGCACAACTGAGTCCAGGCCTTTGCAACACCCTCTGCCACCTCCCTTCCCTGCTGATGCAACCCCATCTGCAGCAGGGTTGTCAGGCTGCCTCAGAGGAGGTGGTTCTTGGAAGCTCAAAATGGGATCCTGCTGGGCAGGTGGAAAGGGGGGATGCATTAGGGGACAGGTGAGGGTGATGCTTAGTCTGTGCTGCCAGGTGTCCTCAAGATCAGGAACCTCCAGTTACTTCTGGTCAATGTGCACAGCAAAGGAGCACTTGTCTCCTCACGTGTCTTTTACTTCCCTTCAATTCCCTGAGAAACCTCGCCAGAGTTCCCTGCACAGCAGTGGTCACCCTCCTCATCCTCACACTTGACGTCTCCAGTTACTGCAACCAAGCCTCAGGCTAGCTTTGGGGTCTTTATAGTTGGAAAACAAATGTTTTCACCCACTGACATCCCCTAACCTTCCTCCTCTCCCTCAGCAGCATCTCCTGACAGGAAAGCAGCTAAGAATAGCCCTGCTGCTGGCTCCAGGCTGGTGCTGTTTGCTCAGTGACTCAGAGCTGGCCAGGCAGGCACTTACTCAAAGGGCCCCATTACTCATCTGTCTGCACTGCCCCAAGGATGGGGTTTGTGTCTCTCCTTTAAAGATGCTTTATTTATTTCTTTTTAATAAAGCCACCATCCACAAAGAGAGGTAGTTACCCTGCTCTGGATTTACCACTTAATATGTGTGCCCTGACCCAAAATGTTGCAACCCCTATAGATCACACTGGCAGCCCCTCGTATTGCTCCTACTCACTGCCTTGCCAGGAAGGAGCTGTGTCAGCAGGATCAGGGCAAAAAACAATATCTCCTAAAATCGCATTTCATGTCACCAGGGTAAGCATGTAAACGAAAATTCTCTCCTCCAGAAACCGTCTGTGTTGAATCTGTGCCCAAATCCAGCTGGCCCCTCAGATGCCCACAGCATGACCCAGCTGCTCCCCTCTTGCCCGCAGCCCACGTTAATTGCAGCCCTCCTTCCTCTCTGCAGTGTCTCCCTGCCCAGTGGGTGCTGCAGTGTCTGCAAAGCACCTTGGTAAATTAAAACAGGCCTCCGTATTAAAAAGTGGCTTCATTTCCAAACAACAAAGAGGCAGCATCTTCCTCATCTGGTTTGGTCCCTTGAGGCAGTCTCTGAGTCACAGCGAGTCATGCTGGGAACAGAGCTGC